ATTTGTTGATTTCGGGGTTTGGGTTTAGGATTTAAGGTTTAGGGTCTAGGTTTGGGTTAACCTAAACCAACCCTAAACCTTAAACCCTAAACCTTAAACCCTAAACCCTAAACCGATAACCCGCTCAGAGTTCGTAGTCGTCCCCGGAGTTGGCAAGCAAAGCTCGATTACCCCGCAGTATAGGCTTGTCAGGACTGTTTGGATTCATCTTGGATTCTGTCATACTTTGAGCCCTGAACCCAAAACCCCTGAAACCCTAAGGACTCAAACCCTAAAACCCTAAATAACCCCTATATAACCCATGATAGTAGTTTCCATTTTCTCTTCCACTATCCCTGCATCCCCTATATCAGCCTGTATTATTATCCCTAAGTCCCAAACCCTAAACTTGGAGGTTTGCTCTTTGAGGAAGTTGCTTTGTTTTGACTTTGGCTTCTTCTTCTCCTGGATTCTTGAACCCAGCTGAACCACTGCCCTCACCAGGCCTCCAATCTTAGGGTTTAGGGTTCTGCCCCAAGTATATCTAGAGCAAGTGTGGTTATGAGATTTATGGACACGGCATGAGAGCTACCCTAGTAGCGCCTTCCAACAAAAGACCGCAACGCAATAGCACACCACGGCCGAATCGCCAAATCGATCTTGCGTATTACTTGGGTGGTGTTGCCTTTGTCGGCGCGGTCGCCGCCCAGCTTGTCCCAGGACTGGTTGTAGTTGCCTCGGCCGCCACCAGTTCCAGTCATCACGGTCTTGGCGTCCGCCGATTCCCATTATGGCGCTGCGACTACTGGGCAACTGTTGCCGTTTGATCTGCTTCATCATTCGTCTGATATTCGACGTGGCGTGCGCTGTCTGGCACCTAGCATACGGCATCATCTACTGCCAGCTGTTCAACCTGTGCAGTTGTTTACTACTTATCACTGGACTTATGACCCTAACTGTAATCCCCTTTCTGGACGTATTAAGGCTATCCCAATGATAAGTTGGGTTATGTGCCCAGTTATAAGTGGTTACTATGTCCCGTGAGTTTTCAAGCAGGCATGAAGGATGGGGAGCCCCGTCAAGGGAAAAATGAATCTGTGAAAGCTGGAGCAGGAGATCTTGAACCAACAACTCAACCTGAACCCTAAACCATAAGAAGCACCTCCCTGCAACCCCTAGGCCCAAACCCTAAAGTGGTTTAGGATTTATTATCAGATTATCAGTGCTATCGTCTGAGCTCTGACTGGGCTGCTGCTCTGGCATTTTGATTAAGCTACCCGTAAATCCACACCGTGCTAACTTGTTGGTGCTTGAACAGGAACCCAGCTAACCTCTCTTTCTGCTACGTTTGGGAACCGTGGGTTTGCGCATGCCCAACTGAAAGTCAGGGGACTCAGTCAGTCTAAGGAATGGAGGAACGGCCAAGAAAACACCCTAAACCCTAAAACCCCAAACTGCGATTTGGAGCTTCGGGTGAAGCTCGAAAATGTAAAGCTGGGTAGGCCCCTAGGATATTNNATTTTCCCTAATGGCTTTAGTAAGGGACCCTGTATATTAACATTTTTCAAATGGTTTTAGGGGCCAACCCAGAGGGTTGAGGGTTAAGGTAGACTTAGTAAGTGTATTCTTAGCCCCTGTATGCCTGTATAGTAGCCCCAAAGGTCCCTATTATGAACTTGCTGACTTTAAGTTCACCCGACCTCTAAGCAACCCCCCGGGACCAGACTCTGCTTTAGGGTTTAGGGTTTGGAGTTTACGGTTCAGGGTCTAGGGACTTAAGAACTACGTATAACTGGGGATACATCCCTGCTCAGAATTGGTATAGCTTACATAAGTCCAGGTAGGGGGAGTATAGGTAAGGTTATAGGGTCAAGTCGAAGTTCAGATTAAGCAACATGAGCCTCCAAGTAGAGGGCACTTTCCGACGGCCTCACCCGACTGGCCTCATTGGGTTTTTGTCTAGGGTTCAGAGTTTAGGATCAATGGGCAGGGCTTAGGAGTGAGATTATCAGCCGTCCACAATGCCATGCTTGTCACAGCGCCAGATATGAACCCTAAACCCTAGGCCCATAGACCCTAGAGTTTGATTCCGGGTCCCAGCCCCCCAACCCTAAAACCTAGACCCCTAAACCTTAAACCCTTGTTGAATCGGGCGGTGTCGAAAATTGTCGTTTTGTTTTTGGGGGTGGGGGCTTCGTGTCCTTGAGGACCTTAACATTTTTGGTCGATTAGTGCACAATGCACAATGGGGCCTCCTGGTGAAAGATCCCTGCAGCAAGCTGAGCAAATATGTAGCGACAACCTCGCCCCACACGGTGTGCTTTGGTGAGAACAGTGCTCAACCGTATATCCTCCAGATGCCAAACCACCCTAAACCCTCAACCCTAAACCGTAAACCCTACACCCTAAACCCTCAACCATCAACCCTAAACCCTCAACCCTCAACCCTAAACCCTCAATTCTAAATCCTCATCCCTCAACCCTACACCCTAAACCCTAAACCCTAAATAACCCCTTATAGTAGTTTCCATTTTCTTTTCCATTCTCCCCATATAACCCTAAGCCCTTCAAAGGCAAGCCTTCCTGGCATCCTCGGCCTCTTCATCGGGAGCCTTGGGATGCGCTGTGCAGGGGGATGCTTGGGGTTTGGAGTTTAGGGTTTAGGGGTTAGGGTTTAGGATTAGGGTTTAGGGATTAGGTTTTAGGGTTTAGGGATTAGGGTTTAGGGATTAGGGCTTGCAGCTGCAAGCGTCGCGCCTCGACTCAGGGGGGTCGTGGGCGGCGCGCCGCGCGAAAGCTGAATCCCACCCCAGGACCACCCGGTCGCAAGCGTCCAAGGGTTTTTGCTCAGGCCTTGGCAGGAAAGC